CCCTAATTTAGAGAACTAGCCACATTCCAAGAAATACGAAGCTAACTTTGGGCTTATGTATAGGGGAAGAGGATTTCTAATCCTAGGCCAGCCGCCAGCCACCCTTCTAAATTCTAGCCAACACCAGAATGCCAATAACCCCCAACTAATAAGTAGGTGGTTCTAAGACTACCAAGTAATTACGGCTCTTCCGAACCCCGAATCCACAAGAAATGCTCATATAATCTTTCAGCAGAGTGGCGGATGCTAATTCGACCTTGTCCTTCGCCTTCGAGACGGGGTTGGGTAAGATTCGCGCTGGATGCCAAGTTTAAGATAGCCGTCGTAGGGTTCAGGGCAACGGAAACTGCTGAGCGAGGGCATCATCACACGACGAGGCTGCAAACAAGACGTGTTTAATTATCACCTGACATGCGGCTCCAGGACTGTTATGGGCAGTACCCAAGCGATACTCACATGCCACCACCGGGGCACTACAATACATATGTCTGCGACTGGGCCTTCTTCTGAAACATCCAGTGACTGTCGGAAGTAGAGGCTGGGATGCGCATCATCAACAACAATCCAGTGATCCTTCTTTGGCAGCCGGTTGACGGAGTATGCCAATAGCTGCTTGTAGCCTGTTGAGGCTAGACGCTTCGCAATTCTGCAAGAAGGGTAACAGATGCCTCGAACAACACCAACACTATCAGAAAGCTACTGAAGTGCCGCATAGTCTCTGCCACTGAAGAGGCACACATCCCCGTACTGATCCTTTTCTAGCTTGATCTCCTTCTGCGGAAGGAGGAACACTTCAGCGTCGTCGATTTCCAACGAACATTTCGCTTGCAAGTAAATCTTGATAGCTTTCTGCAAGATGTTGTTGCGCGAAGAGGTATCCAGAGCAGTCCGGTCATCACCGATGTAGCGTTGGCCCCGGTCCTGCAGCGACCCAAATCCCCCGGATAATCCAAATTCCAAACAGCCGGCAAAAAGTTCGTAATGTAGGGGCCTAGTAATTTAATAATTACCTCTACTATTTTCGG